CTGGACCAGAACCAAGGTCTACTTCCTTGTGCAAATAAATAAATAAATAAATAAAAATAATAAATATTAATTAATTAATTAATAAAAAGAAAATGGAATCCCAGGACTGGCTTTGGCTCTAGCAGGTTGTCCCTTCTGGGGCCCTGCTTGGGCCTTATCTATAAAATGGGCTGTTGAGATCCTAGAGTCTGCCAAGCCTTATGGTTGGAATGCGAGATGCCAGGAAATCCCCCCAGGGGCCCAAGGCACGGGCCTTGTCTCCGCATGGGCTGGAGCCAGGAGTGACTGCAGCTCTGTCCAGAACCAGGGTCAGCTGGGCTGAGCACAGCGGCGGCTGTGCACTCACCTTCAGGAATGTGTAGAACTTCTGCTCTTTCTCCCCGTTCACATCGCCTTTCTCAAAGAGTTGGAAATTGGGGACGAAGCCCCCGCCCGGTCGGACATACCTACAAGGAATATTCTTATGTGGGTCCCAAGGAGATGGGGCCTAGGGCTCAGAGATGACAAGAAGGGACTGAACAGGGAGGGGGCGCTGGGAAGCTGGATTTTATTCCTCACCAGGCAGTGGGAGCTGATGAGTATTGAATGGGCATAGGCATAGTGTGGGTGTGCAAGCTTCTTTTTCTGGTTTGGTACCTTCTCAGTAAGCCTGTCCCCTGCCTGCACTCTCCCCACCCACGCCCTCCCCCCGCCATCCCATCATGCACGCACACACAGTCGTCCCTGTGTCCAACCCCTCTTCCGTTCATGCCAGTGAACGGGGTTCCTGGAAGGGGAGCGTAGTTCTTGGTGGCTAAGTACCCATCATGAGTAGGGGCCAATGCAAGAGAGGCCTGGCGCCTCGGCTGGGGCACAGGGGCGTTGTGCTTTCTCAGAGGAGCTTTCTCGGGACACCAAGCAAGCAAGCACTCACTTGAGGCTGGGTAGGATTTCCGAGTTCTCTCCTGGCTCCTGTTTTCCAAATTGGTTGCAGGGGAAGCCCAGAATGACCAGGCCAAATGGTTCAAGCTCTTCCTGTAGTGCATTCAGTTCTGGGCCAGGGAGAAGGAGAGCAGAGATGAAGGTAGACTATCAAGGACCCCTGCCTCGTCCGCACCACTCTACCTGCTCACCCACCGTGAGCTGAAATCACCGAGGCCTGACAGGGGAAGGGCCTTGGCCAAGATTGCCCAGGGAGTGTGACAATGCTGGGATACAAGCCCCATTCTCCTGACCAATCTGGTTGGGTTGGAGGTCTGGGGAGGAAAGAGCAGTACCCTTTCTCAAATCAGGAGTCAGTCAGCTGCCCACTGCCACTGGGCCAGTAGGCTGAGGGCTCCTTCAGGACTCTCAGGATTGAGTTTCTTAGAGCAAGAGCCATACATCCCTGGGCAGAAGGCAGAGGACTTCCTGGCAGTTTGGGAATCGAAGGGAGGCCCTGGCCCAGCTCCCCAGTTCCCTCAGTGCCAGCAACCAGCCCATCTCTTGCACAAACACACTCTGCTCTATTCCAAGGGCTGGACAGAAGCATTCTAGACAAGAGTACCCAGTGCCCACTGGGCCATCCAGCCCACCATCATCCCACTTCCAGGAATTTGCCTGAGACTGCCGGGCAGACATTCAGGGTCAGGTTGCCCTTGCTTCCCCCCAACCCCGCCAGCAGACTGTGCTCAGCCCCACGACATTTTCCTGTGGGTGCGATCAGATGCCTCTGGCCTGCCTGTTCCCTCCGGCTATCTCCTCTGCCCTGGCTCGGCAGAGGGGAGTGAGGATACCAGGATCACGAAATCTGGGTGAAACACCTGGGATTGCCACTGACACACGTACTCAGGGCCTCCGTCTAACTGCCTGGTTTCCAGATGGGGGCCAACAGAAGCACTAGAGCAGATGGGGCTGAGGGCAGATGGGAAATTCTCAGCAGGATAAAGCTACCATTTCTTACTCCACTGGAAGAACACACCAGGCACAGAACCAATCTCCTCCATCCCTCTGCTTTCAGGGCAGTAGGGGTGCCCAGGGATGAAGGGTCACCGGGAATCTTCTAGAACATAATCTGAAGGCAATCAGACCTCAGGCTTAAATAGTCATCTTCACGGAAATATTGAAGACAATAGAATTGGGATACAGGGCTTGGAATCTCATGATCACGGTCACCCCTTCCCACTTGCACCAAAAAAGCTCCTGTGATTAAAATGTGCCCAACTGGCAGAAACAGCCCTACAGCAGGGGAGCAGGGCTGGGCTCTTACCAATGTACTGGCCTGTCAGGCCTCAGTAGCTGGCCACGTTGACAAAGAGGATGTATTTGCCAGCGTACCGCTTGAAGGGGACGTACTCCTGCCCGTCAATGGTGAGGGCGCCGTACTCATAGATGGTGCCGCTCACGTCAGCGTGGCAGTCCGTCTGGAACAGAGGAAGACCAGCACCAGGGAGCGGTGAGAGTCGGAAGGGAACCTGGGCATCTCCATCTTCGGGATCATGAAAGATACCAACAGGGAGAGTGACTTGCCCAAGACCACTCCGAGAACTGGAACTGGACCAGAACCAAGGTCTACTTCCTTGTGCAAGGGAATGCTTATGAAAGCACTTAATCTGCTGATGAGTGTGCGGAACCCTGCCGTACTGCTTACTGTGACCATTACTTCGCCTCCCGTGCTCGCATGGAAACGTTTGCCAGGCCCGGAGAGAGACCGTGCCGGGACGGGCGGTTGCCTCATCAGAGGCGCTGCTGGAGGCTCCTGGGGCGGCCGTCGCAACCAGCCAGGCAGGTGACGATGTGGGCCTGAATGACAGCATTGTGAAGGAGGAACTGAACAGAAAGGAGGAAGGGGCCATGTGGAGAGGGGTGATTCAGATCTGGAGGACTGGAAAGCTGAGGCTGTTGCTATAAAACAGGGAAGCAGGAGGAGCCAGGAAGGGGAGAGGCCTGCCAGAAGGATTCGGTGTGCCGGCAAGGGGAAAGCAACAGGGCCTCGCCCATGGGACACGTTCTCTGTAAGCGTGCAGCTGGGATGACCGGTATGTCTTCCTCCGTGCCCGGCTGCTGCCCCCGGTCAAATCTAGAACAAGTATCAGACGACGGACTCGGGTGGGGGACCTGGATTCCACGTCCAGCTCTGCCACTAACGCCCTGTGTGGTCTGGGGCTAGCCCTCGTTCTTCTCTGGGCCTCAGTTTCCTCTTTTCTGAGATGAGAACCTTGAGCTGGATCAGCTATGCTCAACCATGATGGCTCACCAGCGTCACCAGCAGTGGGGGAGGAGGAATGGGACCACTGCCAACCAGCAGGGCAGTGCATCCCACTCCACTCTACGCCCACCCCAGCTCTGGTACAGGCCATGAAAACCCGGGTCTACTCTTGAAAGGGTGTCTTGGCACCCATCACGCAGCAGTCAGCAGCGACGATGGTCATGACGGGAAAGGAAGAGGATTGCCAGCATTGTATCAGGTCATCTCTGGCTGTGATGGAGGAGGAGAGAGGTGCCAAGACAATAAGCAAATGAAGTGCAAACTAGCATTATAGATCAGGAGAGACAGAGACAGGTGGTGGGAGTTAGAGAAGCAAATCCACACCCTCTCCTCACCATCAGTCCTGGAAGGCTTGCTGTTGAGGTGAGGTACCTGGGCCCAACTGGGTGAAGGGAGTCATCTGGCTGGCAGGGTGTGGCCCCAGGAGGGTGTAGAAAAGCCATGTCAGTCTGGAAAATGTCGTAGGCCTGCTGAGCCAGGCCTTGTCGTAGGCCTCCTACAAGCCATTCCCAGAGAGCTGCAAGCTCTCTTCTTGGCTTCAGTGGCAACTCCCTGTTTTCCGTGAGACTGGCATTCCATGCCCCGTGACTTCTGGTGGGTGCTGGAGGCAGGTCCAAACCTTAATTCCTCTAGCCCCTGTGCCTCCCTGGCCCCAGCTGGGTCAGTTCCCCCACAGAATACAACCAGAGCCCAACAAACCCAGCCCTGCTGGCCGCAGAGGTCCAGCAGCCGGAAGGCAAGGCCTCCCGGCTCACCCCTCCACCCTGATCCAAAGACAGATTCTGGGAAATGAAGAGAACAAAAGCCAAGAGGAGGTCGAAATAACAGAAGCTTGTAAACAACAGGACGATCCACTTCTGGGCACAGCTTCGGGATGGGGGTGGGGCGAGGGGAATCTCCTCTCACTAGGCTTTTTAGTCTTTGCTGGCTCTGTGGCCCTGGCGAGTGAGTCACTTTTACTCTCTGAGCCTCAGTAGGCTGACAGACGAGGATAATGCCACCTGCCTCCCCAAATGGCTGTAAGAATCTATGTGCAAAACAAAACAGTCTTGAAACCCTCTTGGAGAGAAATCCCCACATCAGGAGAGAGTGATTATTCTGCCTACAGCTAGAGTGAAAAGCCCTGAGTTTCCTCCGTTATTGTGAAGAAGCTTTGATGGTCCCCAGCCAGTGTAGAGCAGATGATGCTGCAAGGTGTCTCCGGGAGAAGGGATGAGGACAGAGCCTCCAAGCTGTCTACCGGGGCCACTGAGACCAGGGTTGTGGGTTCAGACGGATGGGGGTCAGAGGGTGGCCCATGGTGGTGGAAGCCATGGCCTAGATCAGGACTGAGCCTTAGGTGAGCTGTGAGCTGTCCTTAGGTGAGCTGTGGGCCCCCTTCCCTCCTCTGGGGCCCATGAACGCCAGAGACCCTGCACCTTGAACAGGGAGGCCAGAGGAGGCGGCAGGTGGGGGACTCAGGTGGGGGGTGGGCAGTGCACATGCCCCAGTCCTGCCACGGCTGGGCAATATGGCAGAGTGCTGCTGGCTTTGCAGTTGGAGGGGGTCTCAGCCAGAACCCTGGCTGGCTTGGACTTCTGCTCTTGGACCTTTCTCCTCTCCCATCTACCACTGCCATAAGTGTGGGGTGGTGAAAGGAGCCTGGGCCTGGGGGCGGGAGACCTGAGTTCTGGGCCTGGCTGGGACTCTGACTCTGTGTGACCACTCCTTTCCCTTCTGTGGGGCTCTGGCTGCTCGCCTGTCAGATGGGCTCAGAGTCAGTGTTGTCTTAAGGGCTCTTCAGCTCTGTCAGCCTGCGGTTCCATGATTCTCTCTGCCTCGTTTAGTCACCTAGAAACCAGCGGTTACTAGGATCCCATGCACGTCAGCTGTTGTTACCCTCTCCAGCTTCTGCAGAGTCCTTCTGCACAGCAAGAACAGGGAGCCTGAGTAGCTTTAAGCTGGACTGCAGAGAGGACACAGCAAGGGAAGGAGGATTTCCTTCATTATCCGGCTCCTCCCTTTGAGCTGGGAGGAGGCAGACATCCTTCCAAGACTGTCCCCTATTGCCCATCCCATTCCTCACATGCCCCACCATCCTACCCTTGGCCCTGGGAGTCGGAGGTAAGGTAGATGGTTGAGTCTTAGAATCCGGAGCTATGACATCTCGACTCTAAGGGCCTGGGAGCAGAGATGGACATGCCCAGACTGTCGTTAGTAAGCAAGTCCTAACCGGCTGCATCTGATAGGATCATACCTCACCCTAAGACTCTTCTAGACCATACCCATCCTGTTCTCTTTGAATCCACCTATTCCTCCCCCAGAGTCCTGTGAAGAAAACACAGCTATGATGAGTTATTCATGGGGTCCACATTCTTCCCTCCAGCCTTCTCGAGTCAGGGCCCAATCTTCTATGGCTTTCCCCAAACTGAGAGTCAAGGGCTGACTCCATGGTGCTGGCCTGCCTATGCCTACCTCTACCCCACATCACAATCTTGAAACTCAGTCCCATCCCTAACCTGGAAAATGCCTTTTGAGCTGGGGATAATGAACAGGGCTGGATACAAAGGAGAAGAGGGGGACGAAATGCCTTCATAGCCATCCAGTTTCTAGGATTACTCCAAAAAGAAACAGACTGAATAGGATTTAGCTGAGGACAGGACAGGATGGGGGGTTAGAAACATGCAGAAGGAACCCTGTGCATGGAATGGGCTAATTGAACAGTAGATAGAACTTTGGAAATAGAATTGGACTCCTAAGATCTTAAAATAAAGACCCAGAAGATTTTAGAAAGACAGAAGCTCAAAGCTTCTCTTGAGCTTACACAAGCATGTGGTGTGTGTGTGTGTGTGTGTGTGTGTGTGTGTGTTGGGAGGGTGGAGACGAATCTCTCTCTCTTTGGGTCTATACCTAAGCCTGGCTTCTGCCTCCCACCCTGGGTGAGAAGAGCGGTCTACTGGGCCCACTTTTGCAGGTGCTATCCTAGGAGATAAGCGTGCTGGGTCACCCCACTCTTGGCTTCAGCATCCCCACTCTAGCTAAGGGTCACACACACTGCTGGGTAGATGAAGGCTCAGGAAAATTCTGCCTTTCCTATTGAGCTGGCAGTCCCCAACTTTCTCCGACTACCAGGTTTGCTCAGGCTGCTGTGGGCAGTGGGTGGTGGGTAGTGAGGCTGCCACAGACAGACCTTCACAGAGCAGCGTGTGGATTTTGCAGTTTCTCCAAGCATTCGCTCTGAAACCATCAGCTTCATTGTGCCCCTCCCCCACCCTCCCCACTCCAGCCCGCCCCCCACAGATGGACAAATGGAGGCCATAAAGGATTGAGGGTCTAGCCAGGGTCCTGGGGGTTGTGCACTGCCAATCCAGAGTGCTTCTTGTCACAGATCGCTGCCTCTTCTACCAACGCCCTGGAATCCAAGTGGGCATATCTACCTGCATTAATTCCTGGGCTAGAAGAGGCCTCGTCGCAATTCTTCCAGACGGGGACCACCCAGCTCCTTCCCTTTCTCCTTGCCTGTCAGTCTCCCCGGGGAACCTCCGCAGCCAACCCAGACGCGGAGTCTCTAGCCTTTCTCTGTGCCCCCACCCGCTTCAGGCCCTCCTGGAGGGGAGTAGCTGGGGACAGTCTTGGCATGCACGTAGCAAGGCGACACTGAGGTAGCCGTGGGGCAGACGGGGTCAACTCGGCGAGAGTGACCCTCCTCCCTATTCATTCTGCCCACCCAGGGCACCCAGATCTCCTATAGATGAAACTGCGAAGACACGGGCGCGCCGGGTGGGAGTCCCGGAGGCGGAGAGGGAGGTACCGGAGTTAAGGGTCAGCGCACGAGGTGTTGGCTCTCCTGGAGGGGAGTCCGGGAAGAGAGGTGCCTCGCCACCGACAGATGGACACCTGGGGGCTCTGTTCGTCCCGCCGGGCCCCCACCCCCGAGGCTCACTCACCTTCGACTTCTCCTGCCCCCGGCCCGGCGGGACGAAGCCAGCCAGGAGCAGTGAGAGAAGGCAGGACGCCCGCAACAGCCGGGCCATGGCGGGCAGGGGGCGCGTCTGCGGTCTGAGCCCGGGCCGGCGCCGTCTGAGGTGTCCGATGCTCTCAGCCACCTTTCAAGCCCTCAGCGATGACCAATCCGCGGCCGGGCCGGAGCCCCTGCAGCCAATCGCAGGGCGGCTGGCATTTCAGGGGCGGGCACAACTTACCCTCCTTCTCCTCCCTGGGCTCCGGGCGACAGTGACATAAGCAAGTCTGGGCAGAAATGGGAGTCGGTCCTTGTCAACCCATGAGGCTGCCCCCTCTTCTTTGGGCTCTAAAGTGCAAGAGGAGGCAGGCACTACGTCCTCCAGCACAGCCAGGGGACAGGGCTTTAAAATATCACTGAAGAACTGATGGAAGCCTCAATCCTAGGAAACATTTCTTACTCCTAGGTTTTGAAACACCCCGTGGTGCTCCCTCTTTCCTCCTTCCTCCATTCCAGTTGAAGGAATGTTGAGGATTAAAAATGACAGCAAGATCTGAAGTGAGACTGCTAGGAACATTTGCTCCATGCAGGTTTAGCAAGTAAGAAGCAAAGAGTGGAGGCACCTGGGTGGCTCAGTCGTTGAGCATGGGACTCTTGTTTTGGGCTCAGGTGATGATCTACCGTGGTGGGAGGAAGCCCCACATCAGGCTCCATGCTTGGGGAGGAGTATGCTTTGGATTCTCACTCTCTCTCTGTCTGCCGCTCCCCCTGTGCACCATCTCTCTCTCTAAAATAAATAAAATCCTTTCCCCCCCCTTTTTAAAAAAGCAGCAAAGAGTGGATGCCACAGATTTTGAATGCAGCCCCCTCCTGGAAAGAACACTGGGATACCTCAGCCGATTTGGGAGCAGAAAATACATTTGCTCCCTGTGTAGTCTTTTTTTTTTTTTTAAGATTTTATTTATTTATTTGACAGAGAGACAGCGAGAGAGGGAACCCAAGCAGGGGGAGTGGGAGAGGGAGAAGCAGGCTGCCCGAGAAGCAGGGAGCCCGACGCGGGGTTCGATCCTAGGACCCCAGGATCATGACCTGAGCCGAAGGCAGACGCTTAACGACTGAGCCACCCAGGCGCCCCGCTTGCTGTGTCGTCTTGAATGTGTTGCTTTCCCCCTCTGGGCCTTGGTTTCCCCAACTGTGTAATGATGGGATTAGCTGATGACCTCCTGATGCCCTTCTGGTTCTGGCTAGCTTCTAAAATAAGTGAGAGACCTAGAACAGAAGTTCCTTGAGAGTAGGGACCATAATCACCACCTGGCCCAGGGCCTAGAGCACAGGTGCTAAATATTGCATTAATCAACCAAAGAATTCATTTCTCTGCTCGGAGATACCGTTGATGAGGTAGGCAGCTCTAGGTCTGGGCTATCTTGGTATGATCCTGTTCATAGATAGGGGAATGTGTTGGGATCAGTGCTTCCCAAATCTGCCCGACTACCAGAGTCACCTGGGAAGCTTCTAGTTGATTCCCAGACCCCACTCCAGGATCACTGTATTAGAATCTCTGGGGGCAGAGGCTGAGAATCTGCCTTCAGACACGTTCCAAAGGTGGTTCTGAGGCAGGCGATCCTGTCTTCTGGCAGAGAAGTGCCTTGAGATAGCATGCCTTTCCTCTGACTGGCGATATTGTCCCCGTGGGAATTTGGAAGTTCTCTCTCAAGTCCCACATTCTCCATAAAGCCTTTCTTCAAACCACAGCCTGTTGAAAGGAAGGGAAACTTGAAGTCCAGAAAGTCTTTAAGTGAGTTAAAGCGCAGAAGTGTTTGAACAGCAGCTGACACAGAGCATGTGCTCAATAAATGTTATTCAACCGCCTCATTTCCCTGAGGCCTAGAGATGAACAATCTGCCCAAGTTCCCACAGTAAATCGGTGGCAGAGCAGGGACCAGAATCAAGATCTTTAGACTCCAGTCTCAGGCAGTCTTCCCTTTGTTCTGTTGTCTTTTGAAGGTCGTATTTACCCAAAGATACAAATGTCTGTACACCTATCAGTTTGTCAGAAATCCATTGTTCATTATCCTCAGTAGGCATCTAGTGACCCTCCAGATATGTGCCTGGCACCATGTAAACACCATGAGAGACGTCAGAGAGTTTTCTGGAAGTTGCAATCTCCATCCTCAAGGTGTGTCCCACAGAGCCAGGAGTAGGAGGAGGCCAGTGGCCACCTAGGGTCTTGCAAGTGCTCAACTGGCAGCCGAGAGTGAGAGCCTCCTTCAATTTTGCACCCTATGTGCCTGACTTGCCTCATCCTAGTCCCAGCCCTGGTGTTCAGTTTCTTTGGGGGAAATAAGAAGGAGTCAGAAGCCGGAGGCTTGCTGTGGGGCCACACACAAGTTACTTTCCTTCTCTGGGCCTCAACTGGTCCAACTCTTAATCAAGAGTCTTTGGCAGCCTCTCGGTGATGGTCTCTGCGGCTCTACAGTTCCAGAAGGGTCTAAGGAAAGCGTGTTTACAAGAAACTCATGAGTACGGGCTTCACAGACAGGTGGGGGGACCGCTGGGGGTCGGGGGAACATGGCGGGCACTGCGGACCGCCTGCACACTACTTTCAAGAGGGCTGAGCCTTGGCACCAAGAACATGAAGACAAACATGGAAATAGTATGCCCCAGTCTTTTCACTGCCCACCTTATGAGCTCATTTAGTTGATTTGTTCCCAGAACCCTATGTTTTGAAAGATGTTATTCTCCACCAGGCTGTTTCCTCTTGGCCCCAGGTTGAAGTCCAAATTCCTTAGTGCTTTAGACAATGTCCTCAAAGTCCAGCCACACTCCTCTCATTCTCTCTAGCCCAGCTGTACTGGGCCTTTTTCTCGTTCTTCCAACATACCTAATTCTCTCTTACCTCCAGGTTTTGTCTCGGCTCTTCCCTCTGCCTGGAGCACTCCACATTCTCTCCCTAACTGGTTCACTTCCACCATGTTTCAGGTCTCCACTTCTGTTCAGGTCCCCTTGCTTTAGTATTGTTCCTAGAATATTTGATACTTTCTATATCAACCCTTTGTTGTCCTTTATCATCATTTCTTTTTTACTTTCTACACCAAGTCACAAGGTCCACAAAGGCTTCATTCCCAAAACTTTGCACAGGGCTTAATACATAGTAGATGCTCAGTAAATATTAAATAAATGTCAAATAAAACACTATTTAGCATCTAGAATAAGCAGAGCTTCAGGTCAGCATGTGCTAACAATTTGAGCCCACAAAACTGGTCGGATTCTAGCAGCTAGGAAGATCTGAGACATGTGAGTGATGCGAAGTGAGCTTATCACAGGAGAGTAAATGATTTGCATTGGGTTTCAGGAAAGGAAGGGTAGAGACAGATGCTGTAGAGGAATCAGAAGCCAGTTATGCTTCCAGCCCGAGAATGTGCTCTACAGAGTCCCAGACAAGTGGGCACCCAGTGCCTCTTCATTTTTTTTTGGAGACATACACAGGGAGCTTACTACTTACCTGTTTGGTGGGTAGGTAGGGACTACAGATGACTTAAAGAAGGTTTTTAAAAAAAGTGCTGATGCTCTGTGTCTTTGAGGAAGACAGAACATGAGTTAATAAACAAGAAGGGCTGTAAAAAGCCAGAACAATGGAAGCCAGCCTTATCACTGCTGAGTAGGCACTGGACTTGACGATGGGGTCAGCCAGCCCAACCGATGGGTCGAGATGGGGGCAACAGAGGGGAGGCCCAGCCCCCATCACCTCAGTGCCAATTTCAAACAGTAGCCCTGTTTTGCAATCAAGAAGAGATTGCAGAACCCAGGTATGGCCTGTTGCTGCTGGTTTTCTGACTAATTGGCCGACCCAATCTCAGAGTCAGCCAGGACACAGGGAGTCCATCAAGAGGAGACGTAGCTAGAGCCTTGACTTTTGAAACCAGGGCCTTTCAAACTCAGGGCCTTTCCTCATCTATGGAATGAGGAGTTGGACAAGTTGATCTCAAGGGCAAAACTGTTGGACAGTAAGAGTAACCGCCAGCATTCACCCAACATCCTACATGTCCCAGGTATTGTTTTAGATTTATTAACTTTTTGAAAAATCCCTGCAACCTCATGAAGTAGCTAACATTATTATCCCCATTTTGCAGATAAAGAAACTAATACATAGAGAGGTTAAGTAATTTTGTTTAAGGGCATGCAGTTGGGAGACGGCAGAACCAGAATTCTGACCCAGATGTTCTGTCTCCAGAGCCCTTGCCGTTGATCGCTCACCTGTGTTGTCCAACATGGCAGCTATGAGCCAGGTGTGGCTAGTGAGTGCTTGGAACGTGGCTAGTCCACATTGAGATGTGCCACCAGTATAAAATACACATGGGTTTTTGAAGACTTCATATGAAAAAAAAGAATGTAAAATATCCCAATAAATGTTTGTATCATTACATGTTGAAATGTTCATATTTTATATATTGGGTTAAAGAAAACGTATTTTTTAAAAAAGACTATTTATTTACTTTAGAGCTAGAGAGAAAGAGAGAGAGAGAGCCTGTGAGTGGTGGGAGGAGCAGAGGGAGAGGGACAAGCAGACTCCGCGCTGAGCGCAGAGTCCAATGTGGGGATTGATCCACGACCCTGAGATCATGACCCAAGCCAAAATCAAGAGTCAGATGCTAAACCGAATGAGCCACCCAGGCACCTTGAAAAAATATATATGTATTTTTGAAGATTTATTTGACAGAGAGAGTGAGAGAGAGAGAGAGAGCACAAGCAGGGGGAGCAGCAGGGGGAGAGGGAGAAGCAGGCTTCCCGTTGAGCAAGGAGCCCAATGTGGGGCTCGATCCCAGGACCCTGGGATCATGACCTGAGCAGAAGGCAGACACTTAACTGACTGAGCCACCCAGGGACCCCCTGAAAATATATTCTTGAAGTTAATTTCACCTCTTTTTACATTTTAAAATGTGACTGCTAGAAAACTTTACATAGGCAACTGATGTTATATTTCTACTGGACAGCACTAGTTTAAGCTATATAATCTTAAGAGATTGGTAAAGGATTATGGTTGCCTGTGAAATCTTGGCTTATCACCTGTCTGAGGTCCCCAAGACCATTTCTAGGTTCAGTGATTCACAAGGACTCATAGATCTCAGCATATAGTCATACTCATGCTATCACTTATTATAGTGAAAGCT